GGTGAGAGAAGCCTGTAGCTTTTTCTCAAATGACAGGCTTAGATTTTTTTGGAAATAATTCATTACGGAATCCGCCTGTACTCATCATACTAAAATCGTCTTTCATATAGCAGAGCTGGATCAAGGACCAAATTTCCTCCCGCAATGAGTAGTAGCGGGGAATTTTGCCTGGTCCCGTAATATTTCTGCGCTGTGACAAAAAAAGGCAGAGGAGGCTCAGGGATCTCCTGGAACCGCGCTCTCTCCCATCCTGGTACCAGCGGACAAAAATCGCGCGTGTAGTTACTTGATTCCTGAGGGTAAAAGAGGAGTAAAATCCGCACTCACCCGGTGCCGATGGAGGACTTCTATCCCCAAGTGCCAACGTGCGCCTTTCTTGCAGGTAGAGGCAGTTTCTCCTGGAATCTTAAAAACGCAAACACAACATTGCACCCGTGTGACTTTCTCTGACATTAGTGGCAAAGAAGCAAGCAAAGAGCACGTTAATGAAACAAGCTAAAATATCTGCAGGTTAACCATAACAACTGCTAAACCGCCGAAGAAACTTTTAACTTACCGATTGAAACGAAAGAGCCCGAGGGGGAGGGAGGAGGCCGGGGGAGGAAACACTTTGAGGAAGAGACCAAAACCAAAACAATAAAAAAGGAAAAAAAAAAAAAAAAAAAAAAAAAAAAAAAACAAAAAAAAAAAAAAAAAAAAAAAAAGAGAGAGAGAGAAAACCCTGACAGTAGGCACACTCAGTTTTGGTGTAACTGGTTCTTTGAAACTGTGCTTCGGTTGCACGGGCGATCTGCTTATCGTGGGGCACAGGGAAACAGCACATTTAGACAGAAGTCTGTCATCTCTATTCATTCGTATCACATGGATCTGCCTGTGGGGGAAGAGGTAGGGAAGGTTTTCTTGAAGTGCACCTACCCTTCTGGCGGGAAGGCTTGCTGGGATTGCTGGGCAGGTTTCTTCTGAAGGGTCCCATCTCTCTGGAGTAGCTGCAGTGGAGTTGAGGGCAGGTTCTCCGGTGAGGTAGGAATGTGCAGGAACTCCGCCCTCTGGGCACAGTCACACAAACCCAGCAAAACACACAGCCAGCCCTAAAGCCTCCATTGATCTTCACCTTCACCTCTTTCTAACCCAATTCTCCACCACTTTTTGACCCATTTACCCAGACACCTTCACCATTGGGAGGGGAGGGGTGGTATTCAAAACAAGGACATTTCACTGCGTAGAACTGCAGAGGAATCTACTATAGATTCTAGTGCAATGGATAGACACCTCTGCAGGGTTGTGTGTGTCTATATGTATGTATACATATTTATTGCCAACGGTTGAATTTTTATTCGTGTAATACGAATGTGCATATACTTTCTCGGGCGGGTGTTTTATCCGCGATCACACAATTAAGGGCAATAGTGGTGATTATCTACAGAAAGATTTTTTTGTTTGTTTGTTTGTTTCCTATCCTAAGGGAAAATGCGAACAATTAAAGAATATAGTCACTAATAAAGCAACGAGTCTTGATCAATGTTCTTCCTTAAGCAAAACTCTGATGTGGTTCAGTAAAAATGTAACCGGAGTTCAGTGGGAGTTTTGCTTGAGTGAATAGTGAATACATCGTGATTGAGACCTCATATTAACACAAGTAGTGAGGGGGTGTGTACCTGAATCATGATTTCTGACATAAATCTTAATAATCAACCGAAGAAGTTATAAAGAGCAAAATGACATTCCGGTTAAACTATTTTTTTCAAGTACTGGATTAAAAAAAATATCACTCCCACAAACATTAGTTTTGTGCCATTTAAGGCAAATCATATTTTTGTTAACTTTCTTTTAAACCCTTTCATAAGAATACGTTCCACATAGCGGATGCTATTTTACCGTAACAAAAGAAAAATATCAAAAATTTGGCAAAAATTGTTAGGCCAAATATCGCGTTAAGAATTCGAGTTACTGTTTATTATGCCTCAAACATATTTCCGAAGGCAATCTTAAAGCCATAATTGGATGTTTCTTGATGAGCAGATTTCTTCTCCTACGATCTATGCGAGCAAAGTTAATCACCTCAAACATCAACTAGGAATATAACAATAGCATTTTAATTCCGTAATGACCGCCCGTCCCCCATAAACGCTCTGAATTAGGAAACGCCAAGGAAACGACACTAAGACACCTCATCATTCTAGAAATGTGCATATTAAAAAAAATCCCGAAAGCTTATCTTGAGGATTTGACATATAAACCACTGCGGAAAAAAAGCATCAGATAACAGAAATACTGTATTCTAAAAAACTTAACCAACCAAAAAAACCAAACCAAACAAAAAAAACCCCACCCCAAAACCCCCACAAACAAACAATCCAACCAACAAACAAACAATCCAAACCAACCAACCAACAAACAAAAAAAACCAAAAAACAAAAAACAAAAAACAAAACACAAAAAAACCCCCACCACCTCACATTCAGTACTGAACCAGCCTGTGCAAAGATTAACCTCGGAGACATCCTCAGCGGACAAAAGGGTTTCTCTGGCTGGGGAGCAGGCAGAAGTAAAGACATATTTGGGGCCTTAGCGGTCCTGCTACCATTCATGACATCTTTAGCATTTATTGCTTTTATTTTGGTTTGGTTTTGATTTTATTTTTTTTTCCTTTACAAAAAGAATCTCTTTGCTGGCAGTACATTTATGGAAACGTGAATAAATTACCAGCTCAGCAACCACCCCTGTGCCCCGCGTAAGAGAAAGAGGGGAAAAGTCTGTGACACCTAAACTTGCTCAGGCAGTACTTTGCTACACAGAGCCTAAAGGAAGCGCTCGGACCTAGTGCTTGCTTAAGCTAAGTCTGGAGAGACAACATCAGGATTACCCTTCTGAGGAATTATTATGCATCACGCTTTTCTAATTAATGCTTATTAGCCAACCTCAAACTCTGACATGGCGGGATTGTGCTTTCCTCCAACCTGACTTCCTCCTTTCAGTACAGTGAAAGCAGATTTTTTTTTACATTGCGAACTAACTAATACTTTACATATGTGCAACTGGATTTCCTACAGTATACAACAGTTGCAAATGGTAAATAATAAATAATTTCCTTTGTCATCTGCAGTTGATGCCGCTTTTTAATTTGCACAAGTACACAGAATTGGGTCTCCGGGCGCCAAGAATTTAAATCACACCTATTGCATTTTGTTATTTCCAATAGGTTTGTTGCAAAGGAGTTTTGGGGTTTAGTTTTTTTGCGTTACTTGTTTTAACACGAAAGAGTGAAAAATACGGGGGACGGTAGGAGCTTCCAAGTGGTGGTATCATCTCTTCATTCCCCAACAAAGCAATCGTTTCCTCATAGTGATGATTAATTTTGAATTGCAGGAGTGAGAGTGAAAGCCAAGAATATCAGAGATTTCTCTCCTTCTCCTCCACATAGTGCAGAGCTGGGTGTCCCATCTCTCATTCGTAATCTTTCAGTCCTCTCTTTCCTGCAGATCTGCTTGCATCTGTTTATACATTACTTATTTTCAGGAGATTTTCCCTCCTTCCTCTTATTCTTTTAGCTTGACAAATATTCTATTTGCAAGAATTCAGATTTGCTATTGCTTCTTTGTTCACCTCCCGGCATTTTTTTTCTCTTTTTCTTCCTCTTTTCTGTCTTTCCAAGATAAGCTCTTTAAAGTGTTTGCGATAACATCTACGACCTAGAGATTGTTTTTCATTGGGCCTATTGTGAGCAGTCACCGACTTATTGCACTGCCGCAGAGCCCAGTCTAGGCTACAAACGTAACAAATGAACAACTTGTCCTCTGCGGTCTCACCGCGGGATCCAATTAGTTCCTAAACCGTTTGCACAAGTTTTTTAATTATTTTCAAGAGTTGCGGCTTTTATAGGCTTCCCTAAACTCTTCAAGAAACCAATTCATTCTAGGATTAAATGCTTCTTAAAATTACTAGCAGCGTTGCTCCCTTAAAACTAATAGATTGATTCTCCAGGCAACGCAGCATTCTTATGGACGCTGGCATAGGTTACTGGCCTTCAGCAGACACTGAGGAAAAAAAGAGCTCCGTTTAAAAACTTTGCATTTAAGTGCATCCATAGAGGTTTGATTTGTTTCTTTTTTTTTTTTCCTTCTTCTTTTTTTTCCCCTATAACGTTTAAACATCGGTATGCAGGGCAGGGTGTCACGTGACTCCCGGCCCCTGCCTCCTTGCCATGGACTGCGACTTCACCTCACCCTGCTCGGTTCCTGCCCCCTCCGCCTGGCCGAAGGGACAGAGGAGAGAGCTGTCTGCCCAAAAGAACACCGCTACTTTCACAATAACTAAAGCCGAAGTGTTTGCAGCATCAAAAGTATATGAATACATATAACCTAGATACTTCCGGAACAGCGCTCCTTTAAGATAAGGATTATATTTTATGCACATACATATCACAGTTTGCTAAATTTCATCAAACGATCATACGATAGCTAATATGTGCATGTATATACACGCACATACACATCCTTCGTTAACGTATCTCGAGTCATCGTAGAGATGAAATTTATTTCTTTCAGGATAATAAGTCTTTGAATGCATTTCAGAGATTGCAGGAAGAACATGTACCTATACAATAATTCACCTTGGATTTTTCCGAATGTGTGCTTATACACTTAAATTGTATATGAACGTATGTATATATACATACGCGATTTTAAACATCTTCAATGTAAGGCAGTTTCTAAGTAAGACATCCTACCTTGTACTATCAATTTTTAAGCAGACTTGATAAGAGTTCTGTCCCAAAATGGACATCACAATAGTGGCCATGATGTTTAATTAAATACTCTGACCTTTTACATCTGAAAATACTGTAGTTAAAGACAATGGCAGAGAAGGCGGGGGGCTGGGGGAGGGAAGAGAAAGGAACATGTGAAAAATGGTGGACTGTGTAATAAGCAGCGCTCTGATCTCTGTAACTTTCAAGCCTCTGCCACATTAGGGTTAACAAAAGAGACAAAAAAACTATCAAGTATATATGAATTTAGCCTATTTTTTTATTTCTGTGTGTTCATAGTAAACATTTTTGTAAGTGACAAACACGGGCATATGACCACAGTATCACAATCAAGAAATTTTAAGACGACATTAACAATCACTCAAATTTATGCGGCTTTTGCGCAACACAGGTTACATATTTGCAAGGTTTACCTATAAGTACAATAGGTATTAACATTTCACTACATTTAGAAAAAAAATAAAGGTGACCTGTTAGTGACCACATACATCAAAATATACACAACACAAACTGAAGGCAATCATTAATTTTGTCCCCTTCTGATTCATTTGAACGGGCAGTGCTGCAAACTGAAATAACGTTGCTGTTTTTTTAAATTACTCCGTATACTGAGTGCATTTTCTAAAACCCAATCTTTGGTCTAAAAGTAAACAAACAAACAAAAAAAAAGGGAATGGAACCCCAAAAAAACAGTTCGGTAAAGAAAATAATAAAATAATAAATGGCCAAAAGTAGTTCTTGGGCATCATTCAGTATTAATTCTGCTTAAATACAAATTACGTTTTAAGGGTTTTTTATAGTTTTCATAAATTTAGTTTGGTTTTGGTTTCTTTTCTTTCTTTCAAGGTCTGCACCCACCGACATATCCATGATAACTTATAATACTGCAAACATGGAGAATCGGGCGGTTTTTAGTGATAGACTTATCATATTTGAATAAAAAAATTGCAAAAGCAGTCACTATTTAGATACACATTCTACTATAATTTTGTCTTCCAAACTTCATAGACTACAATGCAATCTCCCCACATTGCACCTTGCTGACACTTCTCACCTTGGTGGAATAATAAACAACCCTAAAGACTGAACAAACGTACAGAAAAATGGGGGACTTAATAAAAAATACCTGGACTTTTTTGTTTTGCTTTTTTTTTTCCTTTTAATTATCATTTACAATGCAAATGTGTGTAAAATGTTCACTTACAGTCTGATCCCATGGATGTTAATGTATTAAAGGGTTTGAAGAAGACCCCTGATTTTGATGTGTGAAATAATCAGAAAGTCCTCCGGAAAGTCCCGTTGTAAAACTTGGCAAAGAAGGTCTTAAGGACTCACAGGGGAGAGTGGAGGGCGCCTGTGGCGACGTGGAGGAGGAGGCTGCCCTGGCCGTCATTGAAGTGCTGCTTTGAGAAGTCATTGAAGGGTGAGGAACATGGGGGAAAAAGTAACTCGTCTGTCCTGCTAGGAGATTTACAGAGCAGGGGTTTAGGGAATAGGTGCCAGAGCAGGGAACTGACAAGCCACACGGCACTGAGGCGGCCAGAGCTGCTGCTGTGAGGTGATGAGTGGCATAAGGTATCTCTCCATTGACTAGTCTATCAACACTTAACCCATTAGACGTGGAAAAGGAGTGGTTGTTTCCCAAGGAGTTTTGAGTCAACACTGAGCTGTAGGGCATGGGGTGGCTGGGGTAGGCAGACGTGGTCCCATTGTAACTCAAAGTGCTGCTGGCCCGGGGGTGGTGTAAGGAGAGGAAGGGGGACATAGGCCAGTACAAGGATCCTGCCCTATCCATGAATGTCAGTCCGGTGGAGGTGAGCCGGGCGCCCCGCTTGAAGGCCAGCTTGGCCCGAGAGGTGGTGGAGCGACGGCGAAGCTTGCCGGTGGTACCCCCAATGAAGACATCGTCGCTGGAGGGGTCCAGCATCCAGTAGTTCCCTTTGCCCGGGTCGTCGTAGTGGCGGGGAACCTTGACGAAGCACTTATTGAGGGAGAGGTTGTGGCGAATGGAGTTCTGCCAGCCCTGTTTGTTCTCCCGGTAGTAGGGGAAGTTCTTCATGATGAACTCGTAAATGCCATTGAGTGTGAGGCGCTTCTCGGGGCTCTGCCGGATGGCCATCATGATAAGCGCGTTGTAGCTGAACGGCGGCTTCTCGTACTTGCCGTTCTTCTTCTCCCCCTCCTTCCCGCTCTCCCCGTCCTTGGCCCCCT